GGGTAAACGACAAGGAGTAAGAATTGTGATGTCATTATATAATTGCGCCATTAACAGAAAAAGGTAGGTTAGAAAAGACGCTGGTAGAATGTAGGCTTAGATTTTCTAAAACACTGAATTTGAAACAGTGACAAGATAGCGAAATGGAAATGTCTCACAGATAAAAGCCTCAGGGCCTGGAGTTTGGGCTGAGCCCAATTGTAAGGTGACATCTGAAGTTCAAGGCATCTATCCTACATAGAGTAAGGAATCTGTTAAGGCCAGAGGAACTCAACATGCGGGCTCATTACTTCTTATGGCATTAAGCTGTGTGATGGGTCACACATCAGCATTCCACAATTTACCTTCTGGTCTAGAATGGATTATAGCTAGACCTCAGTTGTCACAGTGCTATGAATACAATCAATCTTTGCTTCTGTTTTTTCCTTCATTATCTGGCCTATGGCAGACCTGGTCATGGTCCACTACAGAAATATAGGTACCTTTCATGACTCATAAGAAAGAGGTTCTTTATGCTATTTCTGAAAAGATATCCTATAAGATATCCCTTAGAAACAATTTGATAAGGTGTTTCTGACAAACCAAAATACAACTATGCCCCAAATTACCCATATATTTTTGGTATAATTAAGCCATACTTTAGTTTCATTTACCATGTCATATAATGTTTATTATATTTTTTACTCCAAAGACTCAGAGTGTTTTATTTGATCAACATGTATTCTATTATGCATCCACTATGTTCTAGGCACTAAAAAATAGACTTCAAAAATGAGTTTTTTAAGGAACTTAAACTTTTCAATAGTAAAGTTCTTTAAATAATTCAAGATTTAGAAAGATAAGGCAGAAGCCTTACTTTCTGTCATATATCACTGTGGTTTTTTTTGAGCACTATGGAAAAGGAAGTATCTGTATTTACCAAAGTGGATCAGATACCTCCAACTGACACAGTACAAACTTTGAGAGGAAAACTAACCAACATGAGCCTAAGAGAATCTTGCACAGAGCCAGCAGTTATTTATTACAAACACTGTGTTTCAAAAAGATTGGGAAATCAGTGAGACATAATATCAAGTCTGCCAAATCAAAGGCAAATATTGCTAGAGGGAGGACTTTCATTGCTGATTTAACCACACACAAACCTGTAGCTCTAAGGATTCATGGAACTTAATTGGCCTGCTTATCAAGAATACTGCCTATCAACAAAATTTAAGTACTTCATAGGGAGTTACTTTTCTTCCTTTTTTTTTTTTTTTAATTAAGCAAAATCCAAGTCAGGTATATGCCTAAATTGCTAGCAGTTGCCAGGTAAAAGTGAAGTCAGCAACACAGCAGGATTTTTAACTAGTGAACTGCATCAAAGTTGTGATTTCCACTATCAGTGGAGAGTCAGCCTAACACCACAGGCAAGAGCTACCTTTTAGGAAGGGCTGCCTAAGGCAGCCCTGCTTAACTTGTCCACCAAAGTGCTCCTCACTGACGACTGTGAACTGGTCCCAGAGTCTACTACCAACACCCTCATGTCTCACGTGTGAGCTTTCACGTTCTCTATAATTAATGTAATTTAACTGCAGTGTGATGTATTTCCAAGTTTATTTGAATATAATAACAACCAGCGCTTACCAAAGACTAACAGCTGGACAGGCACTGTGCTAAGAATTTCACATCAATTACCTTATTTACTTCTCGCGAAGAACAGGCACTATTTCTATCACTGATTACGGTGGGGAAACTTTAGCTCAGACAGGTTGAGAAACTTCCCCAAGGTTATGAAATTCACAAGCAGTGGAGATGGGATGCAAGCTGCCCAGTTTCTAGTTCATCTTCTCCGATACGTTACATTGCAGCTTTTCCTTCTCGGTGAGCTAACTTTTTCTGTAAAGGGCCACACAGTAAATATTTCAGCTTTGCACACCATGTATGGTCTTTGCCGGCTACAACGACTCAATTCTGCTGTTGTAGTGGATGGCACCACACGCAGCCCTCAAAGGAGCGTGGCTGTGTTCCAGCAGAACTTCATTTACTGAAACGGGGGCAGGCCGATCTGGGCAAGAGCTTGAGAACACTTAAGTAAACTTCACGTTCCAGACAGATATGCGTATTTATTCTGTAGCTTTGTATTATCTCCTATTATGTCTGTTTGGGAAGAACAAGTAGATAGAAAATGGGTTAAAAAAAAAAAAAAGCAGCCAATGCCAAAAGTTAAGGGAAAGGGGTTTAGTGTTTCTATGCTGTTACCAACCAATCTAGTAACGACGACAGAGAATCTACGTGTCCTCCCCCGCCTCCCTCAGTCCTGGGTTCTCTGCCTCCACTGGGCCCAGGGACATTCTCTCAGCATCTGGCACCCTGGACAGACCACAGCAGATCTTCCATCAGCTGTGACTCTCCCTGCACAGTGGTTATGTCTTATCTTTCCACCTAATTGGAACCCCACTCCCTAGAGTCCAGTGAAGTTACTAATTATCCTCTCTCTATGTTTTAGGTCCTATCTCCGCGTCTTTGCTCATGCTAGGAAAACTGTCCCACTCTCTCTGTCAACTGATTCCAATAGCTAATTCAGGAAATGCATTACTGCATTCCCAGTTCAAAATTCCTAGTCCTTGGATTCACCTCTAAGACATCATTTCTGAACATGCCAATTATACTTGTGTATTCTGTGTCAACTGTTGACTCACTTATTTCAAATACTACAACACTGACACCATGAAAGAGTTAAGAGAATCCCCGAAGTGTCACTGTCACTGGATGTAACTGGTAACTGGCAAAAGTAGTTAAGATTGAGTTTAGAGATTTACCTTCGTTTTCATGTTCTGAATGATTAGAAGAGAAGGCAAACTTTACTTTCATACAGAGCTGGAAGGTAAAGGTTATTCAGTTATAGAACACTAACGGTAATTTGGGATCTCAAAATCAAGAAGCTGAGGTAGACCAAAAAATCCGGGGGCACTAAAATGCCTAAATGTACTAAAATGATGGACAGAAAATAAAATGGAATATGAATGACATTACAAATTCCTGTTAAGAAAGAATGCCTTTGATTAATAAGTGAATCTTGAGTAATTTAATTAAAAAGAATAAAATATTCAAATTATTATGTTTTTTGCATGTTCCCAAGACCTTCATTGAGACCACTGAGGGGGAAGAAAACTGTCAAGATATGTATAGTTCAGGACAGTTCGGTACTCTGTCCTTAATTCTTAACTGCTGTTCTTCCTTCACTCCTCTGGGTTACTTCACTGTGCCCACAGCGCATCACGTTTCTCTCTGCTGGTGCCAGCTGTGTCTTCTCCAGTAACAGTCTTCTCTCTGATTTCTATACTTCAATTTTAAAGAAGCTTGAAAAGGTCCCTTTGTTCTATTTTTTTTTGTCTTTACCTTATCAATGTTTGTGATTTATTTCTCTCAAGTCTGCTAGTTATTAATAATATACTCTCATTTTTAAAAACCATCTTACCAAAATAGATTCTGAAAATACTATTTGAAGAATCTGTCCCTTTTAGGAGAGAATCTTACAAACAACATGGAACTTAATTTTTAAAAAAGTATTTAGAGTGATTTCACTGCTCAAAGTCAGAGTTGAGAGTAAAAAAAAAAATATGGCCATCGATAAGGAGTTAACGTCAAAAAATTCACAGAAACAAAATTCAACAGTTACACAAGTACGGCAAATGGTGCCTCTATGCACTCACACAAAATGCATATTCACACATTAGAGGCTGAGAGAGTTTGCATAAAGAAACGTGTTCAACATTCCAACAGTATCCCCTAAACTTGCCTGACCCCTGAAATTTTTACCCCCAACATCTATTACCAGCTCTTAGCACTACTGTTTTCATGGAAAGCAGCCAGGGAAACTTTTGAATTAACAGCCTATTAAATTTAAGAGGCAGTTTAAAATTTTAGCTATATCATTATTAATTTCTTCATATTCCTTTTGGAAATTCCTAATACAGCTGAATATATACTTATCTAATACAGGTGAATATAATTCCTAATCTGGCTGAATAGATCAGCACTGATAAATGCTATAATGAAACATAAGAAGTTATGACTTGGAACTATTTACCAATGAGCACTATAAATTCACCATGATCACAGGTGAGCTTAGCCCCCGTTTTGCCATTTGTTAACAGTATGACCTCTGGGATAAAGAGATTCAAAGTCTCCCGGAGTTTTGATTCACTTAATATCTAAAGTGGGCCAGACTTGCCATAACCAACTGGTACATTTTGAGAATCAAGTCATCAAAATCAAGAACAATTCTTCATAAACAATAAAGTGTTTCAAAAATAAAGAGTTATAAAAGTATAAAAATAATATATTATTTCATCAGTTTCTTTTTTATACAGCCATACTAAATGCTGTTGTGGTTTTCTTCTTCTCTTGAACTCTGGCTAGAATGCGGTCTTAGAATTGCCAAATCCCTCATTTTACTTAGAAAATTAATTTTGGGTTAGTCATTGATCATAATAATGTATCATCAAACTTTTTTCAGAAAATGCATGGCAGGGGCGCCTGAGCGGCTCAGTCAGTTAAGTGTCTGCCCTCAGGTCAGGACATGATCCCAGGGTTCTGGGATTAAGCCTGCATGGCTCCTTGTTCAGAGGGGAGTCTGCTTCTCCTGCTCCCTCTGCCCCTTCCCCCGCTCATGCTCTCTCTCTCTCTCAAATAAATAAAATCTTAAAAAAAAAAAAATGCACGGCAAAAATAGAAGAATCAGAAAACTGTTTAAACGAAGAGACTTATTGCAAAGTAGCTGGCAAGCAGAACCACCTTTCCCTGGGCTCTCTTATGAACCCATCCGTGGCCACCCTTCGATGCCAGTGAATAAAGACAGTAGGGCTCTATATTCTTTGAGTCCTTCATTAAACTATTGATCCCTTTAGCATCATCCATAATGTTCCAGCAGCTCAGCACGTCAACTGGTGAAGTGCTAGTCTCTTTCCTTTCAATAACTTTCACACTTTATAGAGAGGAAGTCACAATGATTTATTTACCTGACATTTTCCAGTCCGGATGTCGTACAGGGCCACTGAACCATGGCGAGCTCCAACTGCTATTCTGTGATTCCGCTCATAATAGCTGACCATGTAGAACCTGAATTGAACATTTTAACAACAACAACAACAACAAAAACAAAACAAAAAACTCAGGTGAGATGACCTGCACATGCAAGTGGACAGAACATATCTCAAAGACGGAAGTCAGCTCTGATATATATTTTTAAATAAATATAATTAATACATTGAGATTTTTCAGAACTGTTTCATTTTAGTAACTCTTAAAATCAACTGGAAGAAAAACGATGCAGAATACCACTTAGGCTATTAATTATTTTCAGTAGAAAACAACTTCATCATTATAAACACCTTTGAATTTTCAAGCAAGAAATAGGGTCAAATACAAAAAAGATTTAATAAGAAAACTCAGTTCTGCTATAGTAATTATTATGCAAATACTTCTATTTAAACAGAATGGAAAAGATGAAAGGCTTACATATTCAATCTAATTATGTTCTCACATTTTATTACAATATTAAGGAGTGAAGCATACTTTCTAGCAGACCACAGAAAAGCTACATTAATGTTATACTTAAGTTCATATCAATAATTTAGAATGAAATTGGTACGTTATCCATAAGAAAAAAGTTATCTGGCAAATTCCATAGATTTTCCACATTTGCCGGTTTATCTAAATGACAGCTGTGACTATAGGTAGTATAAGTAAGCACACTTGGTGCTTATTTGGCATTACATGAAAAGAAAACTGAGGGAGGATGATTTGAAGGTTATAAGAGGTTAATTTATTTTTATTTATTTCTCTTTTCTCTAAGTTAATTTGCATGAGTAGATTAGGTATCTGAATTTCTGATCTATTCTTTGCCATAATGATTTCATGGCCATCTGGCTAGAGCCGGGAAGATATGAATAAAAATTATTACAAGTGTAAATAAGGTATGATTTTATATCCCTAAAGAGTTTTGAATATACCTTCCCAATATCTAGTGCTATTGTCTCAGTATGAGGTGCCCAGATGAACAAGTGGCCTACCCTAAATATTTATGAGGATATTACACCAATTCTACCACACATTCCTTGCCTTTTTTCTCTGTGGTGTCCTACTACCAACCTAACTTTTCTGTTATTATTTTTTTAAAGATGGGAAGGGGAGGTAAAGGAGATGACAGCGAGGAAATATTTCTCTAATGCTTTCTTGAAATGGAGTAAAAAAACTGCTAGGTCATGTGATGACATTTCTGAAATTCTGGTAAGAGAGGCTGAGAGACAGACAAGAGGTTTAAATGTGAGCATTCTGAAACCAGCGACATTGTGATAAAGCCATCTGGGCATGAGATGGCATTATGACATTCACACACATTTCATAAATCTAAAAAATGAGATACTGTTTTAAAACTCTGTTTGTTACTTATGAGCAAGTGGTGGATTCGATAATACTTCTGTCCTATCCCTAAGCCTTACCCAGTAATGCAACTCCTTTCCGTGCAGTGGAAGATTAATAATGCTTAATTTTTAGTTGCACGAGAGACACTACTTTAGGATGTCCTGCTGGTTTTGCTGTGCTTAGGTATGGAATGTCCTCTTTGTACACTGGTTTGAGGGAAGGAAAGGCACTAAAGGCTCCTGATACATAAGAAGCTTCCCTACTATTAAGTGGTTAGTGTAAGGTTGATTTCTCAAAGCCTTTCCTCTCTGAAGCCTCAGACTACTCTACCTCAATAGAGAAGGTAGGGATCAGCATTCAAAATCCAATGTTCCTACACTTGAAAATAAAAAAATGATCTAGAAGACTTTAAAAACTTTTACTATTTTGGTATTCAATCATTACAGTGATTTAAGTGTTGGGCATCACTATATATCTACACCTACATCTATACACACAGAAGCACACACAGTTTACTCCCAATTACAGTAACATGGAACATAATATCTAACAAATGTTTTAACAAATATTTATTCTCTTCAGGTTAAGAGCCACAGGAAAAGAAAATTTCCAGAAGTATTTTAAAAATCTATTATTAAACTTTGCACAGATGTAGCTGCAATACTGCTGAAATCTGTCTGCAAAACATGACTATAATTACCCCTCAAAATAATCCTCTTCAAAACAAACCTGTGGTAAAATACGTTTATGTGGACAAAATTTACTTAAACTAGAATTTTAAAAGTTTTTGTTACATTGCCATCTTCTATGCTCTGGATATCAACCTCATCCTTCTGTATCATCCATAAACACCATACTTTATGAAGAAAAAAAGATCAAATCTATTCTTGGTATCAAATCTTTAGTTTTCCTGAAAGGACCATGTATTACAGGTCTGCATTTATCATTCTTTGCAATTTACTGCCAGAGTAATACTTCTAAACAAGATCTTAAACAATTCTGGACAGTGAAGGTCTTATGGTACGTTTTTACCTTTGGATTTCTTGTTAAACTTTTTATTCCTTTAACAGTGTCTCTTTCAACAGAGGAAATCCGTGGTATGTATGTAGTCACTTTACAAGTACCCACTCTGGGAGCCTGGCTGCAGTGAGCCTACCTCTGCCGAGGGTTTCCAGAACCCATCGTGCCCCTGAGCCACTCTCCCCTAGAACTAGTTTCCCACTGAGGGACTGTCAAGATTAGGAATAGTGAGATATGCACTGGCTGCTCCCACCTGCAAAGGTATCAATGGATTGAAGAGGGAGATCCACTACAGTTTTTAAAATTATTCTAGATGCGACCTGATCCTACACGAAAATCTTCAATTCCTTCAAAATTTGGGAGGGGGGTGTTCTCAGAGTAAGGACTGATGTGTGCTGCGTCTTCTAAAATGGTATTTCAGTCCCCAGTTCACTACATCGATAACATGTCCCTTGGGCAGCTTTCTTGGGTAACAATCTGGTAAGAATCCCTTTATTATATTCAAATCAGAACAAGGATCTCCGAAACTTGGCCCATCACAAGGAAACTCTGCTAAGTGTCTCTCTCTAGAGAGAACACTACCACACAAATATGTGAAAGAAGAGTAAACTGGAATCGAGTAATGTTACAAAATATATTTCTTACTGGGGTTGGGGTGGTCATCATCCAAGAAATTTAGTCACTGATCCCACACTTTCATTACTGCCCACATGCAGTCAGGGTGATCCTTTTCAACCATTAATCAAATCACCTCTCTCTTATGTTTACAACCATCCCTCAGGACCCTTATGATGTGATCCCATCTCTCAGACTTCATCTTCTCTTCCCCCTGTTCTCTCTGCTCTAGTTACACTGGTCTCCATGTACTTTCTCGAATATGCCAAGAATGTTTCCACTTTGGAGCTTTAACACTTGCTGCTCCCTCCACTTGAAAACCTCATCTGCGGGGCGCCCGGGTGGCTCAGTCGTTAAGCGTCTGCCTTCGGCTCAGGTCATGATCCCAGGGTCCTGGGATCGAGCCCCACATGGGGCTCTCCGCTCCACGGGAAGCCTCCTTCTCCCTCTCCCACTCCTTCTGCTTGTGTTACCTCTCTCACTGTTTCTCTCTCTGTCAAATAAATAAATAAAATCCTTTAAAAAAAAAAAAAGAATACCTCATCTGCTTGGTATCCCCATGGCTTGTACCCTCCCTTCATTTAGGTCTCTGTTCCAAGGTGATCTTGACAAAGATCTTCATGGGCCATCTTATCTAATATAGCAGCCCTTCCTCAGTTATTCTGTAGTCCATTATCCTATTTTTTTCTTTACGATTTTGTTTATTTATTTGACAGAGAGAGACACAGTGAGAGAGGGAACACAAGCAGGGGAGTGGGAAAGGGAGAAGCAGGCTTCCCGCCAAGCAGGGAGCCCGATGTGGGGCTCAATCCCAGAACCCTGGGATCATGACCTGAGCTGAAGGCAGACGCTTAACGACTGAGCCATCCAGGTGCCCCCTATTTTTTCTTTATTGTACTTAACCATTTCTGATATTAAACAATATTTTGTTTATAGCTCGTTTCTCTCCACCAGAGACTTTATCTTTTGTTGAATGTATGAATACATAAATGTGGTCCAAATGAGCAGTAAAAAGTAATGCAGTAAGAAGTTCAAACACTGTGCCTATCCTCCAGTGATTAGTATATAAACTATGCAAAACATATTTTTAAGACCAATGAGTATTTTAAAGGGTCTAAAATAATAATTGAGATGAGGAAACAAAGGAAACCAAAAACTGTCCAAGAAAGTTAGGCAGAAGTTAAGAAACAGAAGTCAAGAAACTGCCATGACCTCTCTAAAAATACATTTTTAATTGAGACAAACAACTGCAGATTTATATGAAATTATCTGTAAAGGTCCCTGCGACCTAGATATGTTAGCATGCAGCTGACAGTTTCATAATGGAAACTATTTAATTATACCTTAGGGAACTAGAAAAGATTACCTGAACTGAAATTCAAGAACGCAAATATAGTCTAAATAATGATGTATATAAGAAAGTATGTATTTTTGGTATAAATGTTATGGAAATAAAAATTATGCTAAGAACCTGCCAGATATAACACTATACATAAATGTCAGTGAACATGGTATTATCACACAAAACCTAATTAAAAGAAATAACAACTTATCAATCATCAGTAAACACTGGAAAAATTATTTCTCCAAAGCCATATCTATGACTTCATTTTTTCAGGACTAAGTCACAATGGGGTGTCCATCCACCCCACAATGGGTGTGAAGCACAAATGTGAATTGAGTGCAGGATCCTGGAGCAAATCACTTTGCTTGCAAGTTTGCCAAGCACCCAGTGCCTGAGTCTCTAAATTTGGTTCTCTCTATTTATAGTCTCCTTTAAATTGATGACCTTTTTATCTTTATTAAAAATGGCCTTCAAATAAGAGAACACTGATGTGAAATTTAAAAGTCAAGTTGGAAACACACAGGAAAAGGAAACATCCAACTCTCGGCAAAAATATGATTTGGGAGGAACACAGAAACCCGTAAAATCACTTTCTTAACTATGACTTTGGTACTCTCCAATGATCTCAGGATGTTAAGTTACTACTGTTTATCATATCCTTGAGCATTAAAAAGCAACAAGAAACACTCTTCAATAATCCAAAATTAATCTCCAG